ATAAAATATTAATAACCCAATCAAGCATTTTACCCCACGAAATATGTAATTCAATTTACGTATATATATCTATATGAACACTTAAGCATGTATGTACTGAACCTTGTATGTACACACATATTCTTATGCATGCACAATATCATCTTTTTCATGTGTATGCATATTATTCATGCACTTAAATAAATAACATGCATGCCATCACATATTTCACTGAGTCATCACATATAAGTTACCTCCATCTAGGTTGTCTGAAACCCGGTTATAACATGTAGAGTATCCACAATGGAGGATAAGAATGGTGAATTTCTTGGAGGGGATGGACATAAATCTTCTCATATTTGTTATGGAAGGTCCCTACATTCCCCAAACTGTTGTACCAAGAGTTCATGGAAAAAGCACTGCTGAAGAAGTAGCAGCTTACTATATGATGAAAGATGAGAGCAATTGGGACGAGGATGACAAAGAGAGAGTAGAAGCTGGCAGGAAGGCTAAGAGACTGATTACAATGGCCATTCCCATTGAGATTTTTCAATATTTGGATACTTGTATCATGGCCAAGGAGATATGAGATGAACTTGCAAGCCAACAGCAGGGAGGAGCTAAAACGAAGAAAACTCGAAGGGCCCAATACTTAAATAAATACACTAATTTTAAAGTATTGCCAGATGAACCAATTCAGAAGACCTATGGCCGATTCAACACCATGATAAATCAATGCCGTAGAAATAACATTGCAAGGACGAAAGAGGAAAACAACGTCCTATTCTTTAAAAGTCTCGGTGATGAATGGACACAAATATCTATGTCTTTACAAGCAAATCAGGACTTAGATAGCTGGTTACTTGATGATGTCTATGGAACACTTGCTACCCAAGAGCAAGACATTATGAAAAGGAAGGTGTCCATCGGAGGACCTCTTGCCTTAGTTTCTGAAGAAAAGGAGGTTTCAAGGGGCTCTTCTAAGGAACACAAAAAGAAGTGCAAGAAGGCCTTGGTAGTAGATTCTGAATCTAAAGAAAAGTATCAGATTCTGATGATAATCTCAAGGTATTTGCCAACTCTCTTGCCATGATAACCAAAAAGTTACAGAAGAAGTTCGTCAAAAGACCCTTCGAAAAGGATAATAGAAGAGACTCCAGAAAAGAAAGATTCCATCTTGCTTATGGACAGAAGACAGTAAAATTTCATTAGAGAGATGAAAGAGAGAAGAGAGAGAAGATAGAGAAGAGAGAAGAGAAGACAAAAGAGAAGGAGGAGACAAAGGAAAAATGGTCTTCGATGCTACCGGTGCAGAAAGCTAGGCCATTTTTCAAAGGACTACAAAGGACGTCTGATCAAGGACGCAGACTACTGCAAGAACAAATACAAGTACAATCCGAGAGAAAGGAGCCTGATGGCTGAAAAATAAAATTGGGTGTCCGACTCTTTGTTTGATGAAGAAGACAAGGCGCTCATATGTCTGATGGCCAAGTCCACTGTAGAATCCACTTATGACTCCGATGACCAGGTATATAACTCTTCCCATGATGAAACCAACTATGCTCCATCTGAGTTAGAGTTAAAGGTCATAAAACTTTCAGAAGATTTTCTTAAATTAAAAGAAAAATTAAATTTTGAAAAATCTGAAAGGTTAAAAGCAGAGAATCTCTTTTTAAAATCCTTTAAATCTCTTTTGAGAGATTGTATTTTCCATTCAATAAAGAAAGCGGCGGCCGATTTCTATTCATCATCTTCTACAAATCTCTTTTTAAAATCCTTTACATTACTCTACTGTCAGATCTGGAATTAACATTATCCTAGGCAGAAAGACTGAACTCAATAGCTCTTAAAGACTTCTTTCAAAAAGAAAGAGAGATTTTTCATCTGAAGCTTCAAACCAATGAACTTTTGATGAAGAAATATAAAAATGCCCAAAACGTTTATGAAAAACTTAATGGTCAAACTGATTACCAAGGAATCAGATTCAATGATCTTGACTCTTTCATCGAGAACAAGAAATCCACTATTGAATCCACTTTTAAACTTGGATGTGTTCAAAAACCCGACTTTTCTCCTAAACCCAAAGCTTCTTTCAAAAGAGTAAAGTCGATGAGAAAACAATTTTCTCAAGGCAAGATTTTCAAAACGTGGTTTATGAGTGCAACACTACTAAGAAACCTGATTAAAAGGATGATGCCTCAAAATCATAGACCGATGGAAACCTCATGGTTAAACCAGAACCTCTGGTTATCATTTCCTCAAGTTCATCAGGAAGTGCTTATGATGGAACAGAACATCTTAGTAAGGAATCATATTCTAAAGGATCGATGAATGATTCAAGTAACCTTGAAAATTCATCTATGAAATCAGAAGCGATGGATCTCCCAAAGGACAGTTCAGAACGTTCAATCTCAGAACCTATCTCTCTTAAAAACGTTCACGAAAATTTCGATTTTGAGAAGTCTGCAAGAGACTTTCTTGATTTTGATTCTGAAGATGAAATAATCTGTGAATCGCCAGAAGTAATTGTGGATAAGAAAAACGCAAGTTCCGAAAATCACAATGAATTCTAACCTCTCAGACTTGTATGTAAAAGCAAAAAATTCTTCAGACCTAGAAAAAGGAAAGTTGAATAAAGTTAAGTCTACCAAGGAATCTTCACAAGGCCCGACCCCTCGCTTTAAATTTATAAAGTTCAATCCTGAACAGAAAAAAAAAGTGGCCTGCTTCTGAAAATTCTAATTTCATATTTCATCTCCTTTATCTAAAAGGAAAAAAGGTTGTTGATTCTCTCTCCCTCATTGATTTGATGATAAACCCTTTTACCTTATACGAAGTATTTATGTTCCAGTTTTCAGATCCAACGATCATCACTGAGTCTGTTCAGTGATCGCTGAAGAACTTGTAATGTAAATCCAATTAGCAACAACAATACTTCAAGAAGACAAAACTCACACCAAAGAACCTTCAACGAAAGTCGAAGACTGAAACTGAAGATTTGAGACTAGCAAGTACGTGATCTGAATCGGTATTCAGTTATTACAATCTTGTCTACATATGTGTGAAGACTGCCCAAGCCTCAGTGAATGCTGAAGAGACCTTCAGGTTATTCCAGCATTCAACGATCAAAAGAAGCCTGTTGAGCATGATTGTTTTGGTCTTGTCCTCATACACACAAAGGACAATCCCTTACCCTTTCTAAAAGATAGTACGATACAGAGCCGATTAATTAACACTATTACCCACCAACTTTGTGAAAGGATGTCTGCTCATGAATAGGATTTTGTACTATTCACTGTAGCAAAAGGACAAGTCATTGCCTAAACGCTTGACACGCGTTCTAACCCTACCACATTGCTTTAAATGTGCATTTAAAACAATGGGTATAAATAGATGTGTTCTATCTCCATTCAGAGATAGTCCTTACTCTATCTTACTTACGCTTAAGTAAAAGAACACACATCTAAGAACAATATGCTCATCCTCAAGAGCAAGTTAGAATCTCTTTGTTGTATTATAAATTGTTCTCTCCTAGATAGAACTTATTTTCTTCTAAGTCTTTAACAACAAATCTTTTCTTTATTTGCTAAGAATTAGTGTGTAACTTTAGATTGTTTAGATAGGTTTTATTTACCTTATCTTTCCGCAAACAATCTTGTAAAATCTGTATTGATCCTTCTTTACCAATATATATATATATTTTAAATTTGAAAAGTTTACTGTGTTTGTATTCATCCCCCCTTCTACAAACAATTATACACATCTTGTAGACCCTAACGGGACCAACAAGAGGTGTCAGAGTAATGTATTCTCTTCTTTAGTTGTTTAGTTGTTTTCTGCATTAAATTATGTCCTTCTTTAGATAATCTTATTGCTTTCAAAATGGCTTTACAAAACATAAACAYACACTTTCAAGGCAATGGCTCTCTTGCCAAACCTCCCCGTTTTATCTGAGACAACTTTAGTCTCTGGAAAAATCGTATCCYTCTTTCTRGAAAGTGTGGATCCTGAAATTTCATACTACATAGAAAATGGACCATATGTTCCATATGCTATTTCTGTGACTGTTCATGAAATAGCTACGACTACCGCGAATCCTGAACGGTAGATTCCAAAGTTCCCTTTTCAATGGAGCGATGAAGACAAGAAAAAGATAGCTATAGACACTCGTGCTAGGTCTATAATAGCTATGTCTCTTCCTAATGAGGTTTATCACTCTGTGATGAAACTCAGATCCTATAAAGCCATGTGGACACTTTATGTATTCAATATGAAGGAACGTATCAGGTTCAATAATTAAGGAAGATCAATCTAGTAAGACAATACAAAAGCTTTCTCTATGGAAAGAAGACATTGTCTGAAGTACATCAACATTTTAACTGTCTTCTTATTGATTTAAGGACTGTAGGTAGGGAATATTCTAATTCTAAAACTTTAATTAAGTTTCTAGAATGTCTTCCTGAATCTTGGGATACTTATTCCATGTGTCTCAAGATGTCCATTGAGATGTCCTCTCTCTCTCTCTTAGCACTCTTTACGGGATCTTGCTCAATCATGAGCAATCTCGTCAGCTGAAATGAAATCTGATCAAAGATTCCAAGGAAATGAAGAGCTCTCCTTTAGCTCTAATCTTTGAAGAAGCATCARCTGAAACCCCTTCTTMTTCTTTTTYTTCTTCTCTTYCTCTTGTTGTTACTACTATGTTAGATTCTACTAACTCTGAGGATGTATCAGAATCTGATCTTGCAGATTTTGATGAATCACTAGCGTTATTAACTAAATCTTTTAGGACATTCGCCAACAATAGTAACTTCCGCAAATCTCCTTTGTTGACCTTAAAGGAAAAGCCAAAGTCTGATAAGATAGACAAGGCTTCAGTGATCTACTACAACTGTCACCGCACAGGTCATTTTGATGGTGAATGTTGATCCAAGAAGGCTGGGACACCATCATCCAAAATCCCATCCTTCTTCAAATCCAGGGATGATAAATATCTGAAGCTGAAGTAGAAGTACAAGAAGATGAAGAACCACCAGCGAAAGGCCAAGAGACTTGTCACAGAAGAGCACGATTGGGCTGATTCTGATGAATCATCATCTGATGAGGAAGATGCGATCTATCTATGCTTAATGACCAAAGATGTCAAAGAGGAAACTCCAGAGACATCAACTTTAAATGATCCCTCATCATATTCACCCACTCAGGTATGTATCCTGAATGAACCCTCTTCTTCTTCCTCTTCTAGCCTATAAGCAATAGACAAGTTGACGGTGGACCTTTACAATGCCCTTAATGGCAAGTCTAAAGCAGAAATGCTTAATCTTGATCTTCAAGAACAGTTGATGGTTTGCCATTCTTAGATCAAGGAGCTGACCAAGGTTGAAGAAAACCTTAAAGATCCGGTCATTATGAACAAAGCCATCACTGTCGAACGCAAACAGGCTATAGCTGAGCGTGAGCGAGCAATCGCTGAAATCAAGGTTGAGAAGGCTACCATTGAAGATGGTGTAGACCCTCTGTCAAAGCCTCTTAGATCATTAACGCTTAGATCCCGGCCAAGATAAAGACTGGTCTATGATTTTCCTATGATCACGAAGTGTCACTAACAGGTCCAAGCTCAAGTTTGACACCTTTGTCTCTTCCATTCCTGACACTTCTTCCTCTCAATCTTCTTTAACTGAGAGTCATCTTGATGGAACTCCTTCGAGTTTAGGTTGCAAAGACAAGGGTAAATCCATTATCATAGCACCTCTTTTCAAGAAGTCTAATAAGTCAAGTAGATCTAGATCTATTCCTTCATATTGTAAAACTTCTTCTTCTTCAGGGACTAAGAAATCTAAACCTGTTCAGAAGTCTAAGTCTCAGCTCAAGGTGAATGCTTCACCTAAGGACTCCAAAGCCTAAAAAATTCCTCCTAGAACTAATGAGAAGGGAATCCTTGGAGCTGGTCCCTCTTCTAATCTGATACTTCCTRGCCCTGAAGCTACCTTCAGCTATAGGAAGTGTAAGCATTGTGGTGAAAATACACACATTGCCAGTAAGTGTCCTTCTGCCGCCAAGGTTGGTCCACCAGCTAAGGGAAAAAAATTAGATAAGCTGAGATATTAACCAAAGCAAAATCAACCATTAAGRCTGSAAAAGAAACCAAAGTGAAGAAAACCACTAGAGCCTCCTCTTCAGGCTCAGTGAAGACAACAACTGATGCAAAGCCTTTAGTATCAAATGTTGTGGTTCCAACCACTTGTGCCTCTTCATCAGGCTCAGGGAAGACATCCACTGACCCTATCTCACTAGCATCAGAGGTTGTTCCCCTTTCCACAAAATCTCTCCAGGTTCAGTGAAGCCGTCTGCTGACTCTGGCTCTTCACAGTGGATGAAGCATCTAACATTGCTGAACCCAAATAGATGGGTACCAAAAGCATTTTTAAACCTTTCCCTTGTATAGGATGTCAAAGGCATATAGTATATAGATAGTGGATGCTCAAGGCACATGACCGAAGAAAATCCCTGCTCATCAACTACAAGGAAGAATGAGGACCTTCTGTGACCTTCGGAGGTAATGGAAAAGGATATACCAAAGGTTTTGGTATAGTGCACTTCTCTCCTCCTTCTCCTCCTCAGGTGGTGAAGACAAAGGCGAACCCCCCTGCATCTATCCCAACCACCAAAAATCCCTTCTTCCAAACGACCTTCACAACCAACTTTGGTTCTCCTCAGAGAGCCAAGAAAGCCAAAATGGGGATAGCCACATCTCTAGTTGAATCCTCTCAACAGGTTTCAGCTATTGAAACTAGCCTTACCCTCGAGGCACCTTTAGCTAACCTCCCCAGCTCTTCAGTGGTACCTATCCCAACTGCCTTAGTGGCTCAAATCATTGAAGGTGTGAATATCAGCGCCACCACCGCTGACCACCCACCCACAAGTTCTCTCAGCCATCTTCTCTTCTCCTTCTTTGGTCGCTTCACATGTTCATGATTCATCGGCGAATGTTCTCCCTGATGACGAGACACACACCACTGGACCTGAGGTTGCTCCTTTCGAAGCTTCTCAGTATACAAATGCTTATCCTCCCGAGGGCATCGTGGAGGAAGCAAGTGATAATCCTTTGGATGTCGATGATGTCCCGTCAGGTACTCCATCTCCCTACCCCTTCACTTCTTCTAACCCCGAGCTTCTATTTGCTCACTTTCCATCTTTTTTAGGTCCTTCTGTGCCTCAAGCCATGGACGAAGAAGAAGAGGTGTACGACGAAGATGATGAAGATTATGACATGGCTTCCGATGTCAAACTCCTTATCCCAACCATCGATACCCTCTTCTGTAAGATGACCGAAGTTCATCAAGATATGCCTCGCAAGGCTGATGTCGTTGCAGACCTCTCAGCCTTCAAAGCTGAAGTTTAAGAAGTCAAGAACCAGCTCTCGTCTCATCAAGAGGCTGTTCGAGCCAATGCTGAAGCCATCGCTACTCTTTCTAGCAGGGCTGATAAAGCTCAAGCTCAAGCTCAGTCTCTCCAGCAGACGAAGCTCCTCTAGTAGGTCATGGATGTTATTGCCAACCACCACCAGTGATCTCTCTCTCTTTCACCGCTGATGACCGTGCTTAGCTTAATGAGATGCGCGAAGCAATGACCACCCTATCCAGTGCTCTGTCACGGCTAGAGGAGATGATGGTTCTCCAACAAGGCATGGACCAACTCTGAACCAACAACCAATGAAGCTGAAGCTGAAGCTCCTAGAGCTGAAGCTGAAGTTGAGGTTGCCTGTGATATCCCAACCTCCGGTGAAGCTGCTATAGATGAGGAAGTTGATGCCATCCCTCGTGATGATGAACTTCCCATCACCTCTGCACATACTGCTAGTAATGTGGAAGAAGAAGATGATCAAGACGAAGATGATGGAGGTGATGAATCTGATCTTCCAGACTCCGACAGTGATCTTGATTGCCATGACGATGATGATGATGAAGATGAATTCACCATCCAGTTCCAGCATCCAACAACCACCACCAAAGGAGTTGCCCTCATGGAATTCGCATCCTAGAGGGAGCAAAGGGAAGAAGAGTCTGTGCCTGAAAGGAACCAGGGTCATTCGTCGAAAGGCAAAGGAGTCGCTGAAGAAGGGAATTTGAAGGTACTATTTCAACACCCTTAACCCTTGTTGGATGACTCTGCCTCTCAGGTAGTCATCACCTCCCTCTATCAACTTGACATTCCTTCCACTACCTGTGATCGGTTGGAATGGGTTCCTAATCACCCTATCTCTAGTGCTCTTGTCGACCAGCAGATGACTCAGGTCAGGGAGTCACTCGACCAGACTAGAGTAAAAATTCCTCTTCGTATCTCTAGTAGTTTGACTTCCTGACAGAAGCTGAAAGACTTGAGGCAATTAGAGCTGAAGAAGATCTAGAGCTTCAAAAGAAGCAGACTGAGGACAGCTTAAAGCTCGTCAAGTCCCTAGCTGAGAAAATTCTTCCAAAGAGAAAGTCCAAAAAGAAGGTGAACACTGTCCAAGCCCAAGTTAACCTACTATCTCTTGCAGAAGCTGAGCACGTGAAAAATCTGAAGTTGGCTAAGCGAGACAAGCATTGGAGCGAAGCAAAACTGAACAAGAGAATTAGTCCTCACTGGATCAAGAGCGTCAGCATCAGCGGATGATCAAAAGACGATGGCACGCTACTCTCAATGCTCATCACCAGGAACAATCTCGATGCCGTGACTGAGTACCCTTCCTACCTTGGCCAATATGGATACAGTGAATGGCTGGAGATCAGACAAGCCATTCAGCGCTCCAAATCCAGACATAAGTCAATTATCGAAGACATCATCAACGATCTTATCAAAAGGATGTCCACGTATGTCGCAGTCCCTGATAGGCCATCTCTGAAGAAAGGAGAAAGGAAGAAAAGACCCTCTAGTCCTAATTATGGAGCATCCCTGAGGAACTAACATGAAACAACGTTCTCCTTAGATGATGTCCTGAAGGATTGTGAGAGTCCAAACATCTCTATGCTGAATCTCGAACTGCCAGCGAAGGGTGCATATACACCTAACACTGTGCATTTCAAACATGAGTCAGGAGTTATATTCCTTGACTATGAAAGTGAAGTAAGATTCCAAAGAATGTCTGAGTTACATCTATGCCCTATGGAACACCTCGTGTGTAACACCACGATTACAAAACAAACACCTACCAACCTTCATTAAATAAATTTTAGTTTCAAAAACCTCAAGATACGGGATAGCGATTTACAACCCAAAATACATAATTTTAAGACTTAATAAATASATAGCTAACAAAAAAAAAACATAATCATCGGGGACATGTCTACCCRGAATATACATACTATGAACAACCCAAAAGTATAACTTATACCTAAACTCAAAAGTAGACTTTACATGTCAATCCCTAATCGATCATCTGACCTTGTTTTTGCCTTCGCCAATTTGCCCTGAAAAGTTAAAACCAGTAAAAGATAAGCTATATGGCTTAGTGAATTTATGTGGAAAAATTTGGTTACAATGTGTTATATAAGCGTACATACTACGAAATAAAGAAGGTCTCGAAACAAATTTTGCATAACACGACAACAACTTAGTTGTACCACATGATGTCCTTTACAACAACCTACTTTGAACATGGGAATCACAAAAGAATGTTCAACATAGAAAAAGAGCATCAATATAATCAACATTATACTCGAGATCAAGCAAGGTCACATACTAATTAACTTCACACACAAACATAARACTTGGCACCAAATCCGCCCTTCTTCTTCCGGATTATGCCAAAGTCCTATACTCACCCCCTGGCTCCCACTGGGCAGTGAGTATGGTAGCCCCTCCGGTTGTCTCACCCGGACTCCATGGGATATCGACAATCGGCGCCCAAAACACA